CCCCAAAACCCCAAAACCCCAAAACCCCAAAACCCCAAAACCCCATTGAGAAAAAACGACTGAAAAAATATAATGATATCAAACGAGACATGGAAATACTTCAAGATCTGGAAAGCAGTTTATGCAACCAAGGTTAAGCAAGAGCTTGACCAGGAATACGCAGCCAGTGTGATGTTCAATATCCTTGAGGAGAAGGTAGACCAACATAAAGCTAAGTTCATCCTTTCGCTGAAGAAGATGGTCGTAATGAAAAAACTTGTGGAGAAAGTTAAGAAGGAGTTTTAAAATCAAAGGTAAATATTCAGAAGTACTGCAGAATCTCGAATAACCTCCTCAGCAAGCTCAGATTAAGTTACCTAAATAACTATTTCCACAAGTGGCAGTACAAGATGCGTCTCCAGAAAGATATCGAGGTAAGCCTCTCTTCGACCTATAGAAGGTCAACTCCAAGCAGGTAGCCAAGAAGGTCAAGAAGCATAACAAAATGAAGCGATGGAGCTACATCCTCGGTTTCGAACTCCTTAATGAACTCATGACTAAATAAGAGAGGTATCCTTCTAATTTACTCAGCGTTTAGGGACTATTATTAAGAACCCGGAGAACGCCCAGGTCTTTAGTAAGTTCCTTAGGTGGAAAAAGATCACAAAAATCCTCGCAAAGAAAGAACATGATGGTGAGGATGCTAAAAAGAGCCGTAAAGCTTCGGTAGATACAGACAGCTCCGAAGATCCCGTTATTAAAAACTACCAGAAACAGAACGATGTGAACAAGAAGGTCTTGCAAACCCAGATTACTATCGGAATTCAGCTGAAGAAGGATATCGAGAATATGAGGCAAAACCTTGCACTCCTTCAGCAACAACACTTAGAAGAAGAGGAGGATATCCGACCTTCATTCTAAGTCAGTAGGCTAGAACAATCCTCAAAATTTCACAAATTTCCTTATTAAGTTAAGATCCTTATAATTCACGAAGCTTTAGGTGGGTCAGATCGGCCAAATAGATTGAGGGGAGATTAAGGATTTTATCCCTTGAGAATCCCTGACAACTTAGGCTCAGTAGCAAGCTGTATAAAATTCAATATTTGAATTTTATTATGGGGTTTTGGGGTTTTGGGGTTTTGGGGTTTTGGGG